CCAGCACAGGAAGTCCTCTTGCCTTCGTAAAAATGAATCTCAGCCGCGAATCGTAATAAAGGGGGAGGAAGGAGGCAAACAGTTCGTTATGCTGCTTTCTTGCCCTTTCTTTCAGCCTACCTTTTCCTTCTTCTTCTTTTTACTCGTAGCTTTTGTTCGTTGTTGCTTCGCCTTTCGGCCTCTTTCTTTGAGTTAAAGACCGGGGGAAGATGGTGATGACGATGGTAAAGATGGATATTAAGTGGAGCTTTGAGACAGTGTGCCGGCTGTTTTCTCGTTATCAGCCTAGAGAGATTCTAAATGTTTGGCTTCCTCTCTGAAGTTGATCTCTCGATTGTTTTCCTTAGATTCTTTACGAGGTAGATTGGAGAAGACGGAGAGACCTTTATCGCTTGGGTTTACAGCGTAATTGTAGAGTAAAGAGACATCGAGTAGCGTTGTTAATTTACTCGTTTAGGCTGCTGTAACTTATTCGTATTCCACTGTCAACGCCAAAGGAAAACATTTCCGACCAGCGATATTCTTCTATTATAGAATTTTCCTGCATCTTTTAAAAGAGACACTGTTCGATCCTTCGACGAGAAAAGATGAAGTCGAATGTCGCGAAGATTGGAACGCACAGGGTGACCCATTTCGAGCTATAAATGGATTTTACGATCGGAAGCTGCGTCAATCGCACAAAATCGAACGCGCCAAGTGGTACGAGGGGCTCGTCAGAATTTCGCGAAAGAAATCTACTGACGGAGTTGCCGATATTTGTGCCGGGTCGCTTGTAATTTTTTGGTCCATTCTTTTATCCATTTTTTTCTATTATTATTATTATTTTTAACCCGTTAGACACATCTTTAATCTCTACAAGACATGTGAACACGAACGTACTTTCACGCATTCCTCAGAAGTTGCAAATTCTTTTCCATTAACGATAAATCGAAGAATTTGTATAACGATATTACGTTTGTTTTGGCACACCGGTTATTGATTTATCGAAAGGGTTAATAGGTTAAGGTTACGTATAAATATAACCTTGATAATCTTGATTTATCTTTGCTAACGCCTTCTCGGCGACATTTAAATCCCTTTTTATTGTTTTCGATATAAATCCTGGGATTAGTCTATTTTTACATCGGAATCGGACACCTTGCGCGTATATATCGTTTGTTGATGCCAAGATCGGGCCAAGATTTAGGACGTACTATTTGGATTGAAATTTCAGGGTCCTCGGCGAAAATGAAAGTGAACATCTGTACGAAGCCTTGGGAGCGTACCCGCGACGTTTTATTGCGTCACGTTTTATTTCGGTTTCGATCGGTCGCTCTACGGCCATAAACGCGTTTCAAAAACCTGTCGAAACTCAGATTTATTTCCTAGATCGTATTTCTTCCTTTTTTCTTTTTTCTTTTTTTTTTTTTGTTGTTTTTACGAGTAATATATTTTTCAGACGCAAGAATCTGTAATGCAAAACGAAACGAATATAAGTTTAGAACGAACTCGTCGTTGATATTTTCGCAGGCTAATTCGTTGGCAAAATTTCGAACATCTATTGGTGCGTGTAATATATGTATGTAAATGCAGTTGTGTCCAGAATTTAAAGATGTGAATGACATCGGATTTCGTATTCGAGAAATAACTGGCGCCTCGTTGTTTCTCACGTCTAACTAACAACAGTTGCGCCGTTTCGTATTTGTTACAGTATTATGAAATAATTAGAACTCGAAACGATCGTGCAGATCTGTAACTTTAGATATCGTGCAGTCTGTTTAGGAATTTTTTCCCAGCAATCCCAATTACGCTTTGGGATCTTGAGTTTCTCACGTTTATCGGTATAAAAAGATTCGTAATTTCAAGGTAGTCCTCGATCGCGTGTTTTTTCTCCTTTCTTCAACTACATATCTCACTTCTGCTTCTGAGAAAGGAAATAGCGTGCATTTTATTCCTAAGAAACGAGGGAAAAATTATTATTATTATATAACGCATTGTTGCGCTGCAGTGTTCCGCTCGTACTCGACCTCGATTTTTCTTCTCTCTCGAAGGCGAAATAAAACGGAAGAGAAAGAATTTCTCATTTCTTAAACGACATTAACCGATAAGAAGGGAAAGTAGAAAACCTAATGATTTCAGAGGAAACGCGAATCTTCCAAACATTTATTACTGTGTCTCGATTCATTTTGATCGATACAATCAAATTTTGAGAAATTTATTCGCTAGCAGGATCGGAAGTATGCGAGGTACGCAAAGTAGCTCAATGTTACCATTCCATTGGATCCTCGCGGTCAGAATCGAGATCGTCATTTAAATTCAGTGCGTCGTAGCCGAAGCATTCCCGGGGTCTACTCCCGGGAGAGGATGATGGATGACCTTGAACAACCAGTGGGAGATCGTGGTACGGTTATTCAATAGTCGGAAATGGTTCGTCAATGGCGGTTAACCTAACGGCTCTTATTACGCAAAACAGTCGACGTTTACGGTTACTGTGTTACGCACGAAAATGTGCTGCTCCTTTCAGCAACTATTTATATACCGGCGACCGACATCGCGTATATATGTGCACGCTTATGTGAACAGCGTTACGACAGTCAATTACGTTTCATTGTAACGACATTATAGATACGTTTGCGCGCGCCTAATGAAATTTCAACGGGTCCATTGTATTTTCTCGATGGCGATGGCGATGGCTCTCGGTTCATTCGTTTTTCAACGCCACGTACAGTATTCGAATCGCGTATACGCTGGCTCACGAATGCATTCGAACGCTTACCATAGTTAGGCGAACTTTTACGTATATGTCGTATGAGTTTTTATGAAAGATTTTGAGGTTTCCCGCAATGAAATACGATCGCATCGGTCGAATTTGAAACTGCACTGGAAAGAAGCACGTAGAAGTTACAGGGTATTTTTATCGCGAACGTATACGTATTTGATAAAGAAGATTAGTACGCTATGCTATGAATAAAACTAGTATGTGCAGATATGGTTTGTTAATATAAAGGATAATTGATCGTTTATATATTTCTATGGAACATGTGTAGCCAGTACGTAATGTGATAACTATATGCAATAATTCAGAAAAATGTTCGTACACTCTATAAGACGATTATCTTTATTTAAACGCAATGAGTCATGATTATTTTGGCCAAATTTGAAACCACTCTGACAATGTATGTAGCAGTGCACGAGATACTTTTATTGCAAACATATATGTATTTGATAAAAGAAATTGGTATGCTGTGCTATGAATAAAGCTAGTATCTTAAGCATACAATAAGCGTTCGATGTGGTATCGCTGAATATCGAGGTTTATTAATATAAAGGATAACTGATTGTTTATATACTTTCGCGAAACATATGCAGCCAGTACATAACGTAACAACTATATTCAACAATTCAGAAAAATGATCGTACACTCTGTAAGAGGACTATCTTTATTTAAATGAAACGTCATATTTGTTTATCGATACACGAAAGAACAGTAACTTATGGGCGTTATTCTACAGAAATGTTGTTACAGACGAGAGAAAATTTCATCACACAAACAATAAATTACTAATATTTTGTCGAAATCTTTACGATAGCTAATAATCATGCAATTTAAATTCTGATTTTGGCTGTACACAAGTTGCCATCATTCATCCAATACCATATACGTATACATCGTATGTAAATTATAAACAACAGATGACAAAAAAGGTAAGCATTTACAACGTGCTGTAATCAGCAAACATATTGAACACCATCTAATATCGATATGTCGAAGCAATTGATTTTTGTTCCCGATCGACGCGGAATATTTTGCCATCGAGTCGAATCTCTTCAATAACGCGCCATAGGGACGTCGATTCGTTTTTGCTCGAGACGATGGCAAAAAGCGATTTTAATTAAAGCTGATTGCCAGGCGCCAATTAACGCCGCTATTGCACCCCCTCGCTCAAAGACACTAATGTCCTGTACATATCACTTTTCCACGCTGGTCGTTGGAAAATCCGGTTTTCATCGAGCGATTGGACATCGATACGCGCCGCGCCAAATTTCTCTGCGGCGTTTTATCGGACGGGCAAAAGAATGAAAAAAGGGAAAAGGAGGAAGAGAAACTGCTGAAAAAATGTCGGTACACGGTGTACGGTGGCACGATCGAATGCGTGAAAGCTTCTCGTTAACGGAAGTAGAGAAGACTCGTCGACCCGATTGGCTCTAGCTTCGGTTCTCCAGTTTCCAGGGATTCGAAATACGGAAATCGATGGTATATAGAGTCGTGGGGTAGAGAATACTGAAGCTCTGTGGTAGAATATTAGATGATTAATGGTGTTCTTAAGTAGCGCTGCTGGGTTTGGCTCTAGAATTATTAATTGGGCTTATTTTCTTTGCGATTGAAGAATTGGTTGGAGCAATTTGGTCATTTTAAAGATTTAGGTGAAAACTTGAATTGTACTCGGTGTATGAGTACGAACAAATATGATACGAATATGACCAAAAGCTTGATTTATAAATGGGATTGTAATCGATCGACGATATGGTTTCTCCAGAGAAGATATTGGAGAATGTTCGAGTAAGAGGTAAGAACGAAGGTTCTTTTAGGGGAAAATAGAGCGAGACGAGGTATCGATGTTTTACTTAAATAAGACACGCAAATGAGTAGTTATCCTGTGATGTAGGACTCGACCAAAGAAACCTAACAGCTCGACTACATTGTTTTGACAAAATACGATAAAGTCTCGACTCGTTACGTTCTTCCGAGACTTTCTTGAAACATATCACAAATTCCTTTTGTTTGCTACAATGGCAAGATTGAAATATATAAAATTCGAGGATCGTAGCAAGGTTAATAACAGCCAACATTAAATTTCGTCAAAAGCATTTTCTTTATATTTTGCCACAAAACCAAAAATCTGAGATTTACTATTTCAGGAATTCTGATGGCGCTAAGTCTCGATTCCTCAAACTCCTCACGCTACTTCGTCAAACACATGCAGCGAGTACTCTTTCTCTCTCTTTTTTTCTCTATCTCTCTACTAGACCTATTCTCTCTACAATTAAATTCCCACTAATTCTTCGTCGTACATTTACCATTGCTAAATCAACTCCAATTCTTTGGGAACAATCCAACGGTCGCTTGAAATGTCATTTCACCCAAATGTCGCAACCTGAGGGTGTCGTATCGGCATTGGTTCACATTGTTGGTCGATCATCGTCGTACGCAGTTCTTTAGCATCGTGGTGCGTTATTTTGTGGCTAGTTGGACGCTGTCCCGAGGAAAGTCAATGTCACGGCAGACAAAAATACTGTTCGGCTGGCATCGGCTGACGCCGCGCCGTTTGAATTCTGATCCGTGACCGAGATTCTCGATCAGTCGGCGTTTCGCGGAGCCACGTAGTTGTGGTGTTGTTGTTATTGTTGTTCCTGCCTCGGGTGCGTCGCATAGCGAGGGACGTGCCTTCCGCCAAATGCCCTGTTTTACGTACTGCCTGTGGTGTTGCTGCCGTCCCCTAGATCGATACTTGTCGAGGCGTGGGGACAGGTTCGATTACGTCGAGTATATACCTCTGTATCAGGTGAACACGCTTTGTCGAGTGGCATCTGTCGTGTGATAAACGTCGGTAATTAGCCAGTCACCAGTCAGACGATTTTCTTTTATCGTTCTTTTTCTCGACCCCCTTTAGATATCTCGTTTAATCTTTTGAGTACTCTTAGCGCTTTTAGCCAGTGTTGTTATAAGTTACGAATGCATATATATCGTGTATATTCTTGGTGCGAAAGTGGCACGAAAAGAGTCGATAAATGTGTGGACAAACGAGTTTCCTTAGCTTTTTTCCCTTAATATTCTGCTTATGAAAGAGAATACGTATTTCTTCTTCCAGAGACGATTCCACGGTTTGTTGAAGTTTCACAAAAATTGGAATATCGTGTAGCATCGTGAGATAAATTATTCTTTCTTTAGACCGTGGAAAATATTCTTTTTATTTCTAATATACGTAGTTCTGTAAAGTGTCCGTATCATTCTACAATCGTACCATGACAAGACGATATATACGAGTTTGTTGATAATGTTGCGTTTATGTAACTTTTATATAATATTCCACACAGGTAGATATCGTGGCGATCTTTAATGGGTCAGAATTATCCTGTACGCCATGCAGAATATTATAGTAGCCACAATAAATACACTTCTTTTTGTTTCTTTACATTTTTTTTTTTAAGGAACGTCGATGTCCATGGCATTTAATACTCAAAGGGTTAATTTTCTTTTACTTTACGCTTGTTTGGAAGAGTAAGCACGTACCACGAAGTCGACGAGGGGATTGGATACCTTTGTTCCTCCTTGTAATTGTCAGCATGATTCGCCTTCATTGTGCATTGTCTCGTTTGGTTTTAATAGCTTGAAGAGGCGTGGCGATGAATTTACAATTGTTGCGTGCAGTTTGATCGAGTATTATTTTGTGGAATGTTTAACTTATTCGCGTAGAATGGGAAATTGTTATAACCAATGAACTTTTTAGGAGCAAAAGCTGGGCCATTACGAGCGTGTCTGACTTTCATCTGGCCGCTGTCCAATTAGTTAAACGCGCCTAAGAATATTGGACTTTAATGTACTTACGTGCTGACAAGATGTTTATGCACTATGTATCGTTCATCAAAAACTTCATGTATCTTTACAGTTTTTCAATAATTTTTATAGTTTCTGAAATGCTTACATTAATGGAAGACAAACGAACTTATCACTCAACCCAATATCGATTACTCAAGACCTGTGACAAAACTATCACTGATAATGTTAGTTGAAATGTACAAGACGACCCAGATATAATCTTTTACTATTATCCATAACAACTCCCCCCACCAAAAAAAAGAAAAAGAAAGAAAACAGTTCACACGATCAATACCAAACAAAATTTTATCTGGAATTTTATATGGAAAATTTATAAAATACCAAAAGTGGTAGGAAAGATACGCGTAATATGCAAAAATAAACAAAATATCCAAAGTACAGCGCTCGTTATGATAATTGATAGGAAAAACAAAATTCCGTTTAGGTTTCATCATTTTCGGTTATAACCACAAAAATTCGCATAAATATTGTCTGAATACTGTCTGATTATAATATTTAGCGAATGAAACGAATCGTTGCTTAAACTCTGTCTCTTTAATCACGTTCGAAAAAACTTGAATTTGCATAAAGAAGCAGCTGCGATATTTAAAACGTATTTATTGAAAGAGACTCTGCATCGATGAACGTAAACATTTCATACTACGAATATCAGTATCGACTATTAAACCGAGCCCATCCGCACTCTACGTGTTACGAAACCTCTCCGTTGCGAGCTTTCGGAAGAGACGAGTTCCATGCAAACTCGTAAATCCGGTGAAGCGCAGAATTACAGGGCCTGCGTGTAATCGCACAGCTGCCCACGCAGAAATCGGGGCATCAAACTGGGATCGAGCCGGTCGGTCGAGGGCGAACTTCTCCCACGAAATTGTTTCGCAACACCGGCGGTTCGCTCGACTTGAGAACTTTCACGGGACGTGGCTGAACTTTCTACGCCTTCTGCCGACGATGTTATCGGATCTGAAGATTTATCAGAACGAACGGCCGCTCGAGCGTCACTTAATGAGGTCGAGATGAATTAAGCTGATGATGCGGGCTTTTTCGGAAACAATGGAGCGGTAACGCGAGTACTTTAGGTAATAAGCCTCTCTGTTAGGGTTGGAGAAAGTCCGAAGATGCGAACCTAGAGCATTGTATTGCCGGAGGGCCCTGTTCGATTACGTTTTTTTAGCTACTTCGTTAGCTGTCGAAAGTTTTGGTAAATGAATTATATGTATAACAGGTGACACGAAAGTTGTGAATATCTAGAAAGTTCACGCATCGATATCCCGAAATGAAAAAGCAATCTCGCAACTTCTAGATTCGAGTTGTAATTTGTATGGATTTTGTAATCGCAGGTAATCGATCAAGGCTGTACTGTAATTTAGAACGCGGTAGAATATAGGTATGTCTATAAAATATAAATACGCTATATACGGTATGAAACAAGGAATAAATTATTGACACGAATTATCGACAAGGCAAACAGTGCACGCAAATACGAAATATGGATGGAAAGTTACAGGTGCGTTTAAAGTACGAAAAAAGCTACTAACAAGAATTGTAAAGAATTACTGCGGATATTTATGCGTTTATACGCAACGTAACGTACAAAAATCTATCGAATTACTCAAGTACAGTACTCGGCTGGCATTTAAGAAAAATCAACAGAATCTTCGTATGAACCTCAGTTTCTTTTATTGCGTTTATTGCCAAACGTACGAATTTGCATAAAGCTCCGCAGCCAAGTAATAATAGAAATTGTAGGAAAGTCACTAAATGTCACGAGAGGGGTAAAACTACACGTGGTGGAAGATGTGTGTATAATAGAGCATATGTATATATATTCCTTCTGACGCTGTTACAACGCGATTTCGCACATCGATCAGTGGCGTCAGGACACGAAGGTCGAGCCGGCCGACAAGCCTTCGCTCGTAAATCAATTTCGAGGGTGCACTCGTGTGCGCGTCGATGCATTCCGTAATAGATTTCGACTAAACAGGTCAGAGAGATCCGGCTGTCCTGAAATTTCGGTGTAAACATGCCTGTCCCGTTCGCGGCGCACAAAGCGTCTCAGGAAGATGCAACATCCATTTATGAATGCGGACCTAGTAATTGGACGATGCTCCTCCACGAAGAGGTTGGGGGTTGTCGATCTTGCTGTTCAAAGCGACTGTCATCCACCGAACGCAAGAGTTCATTTAGTAAACCAGCTTCTCAAATCGTGTACAGAATGCAGAATGGAAGAGTAAGGGGGAAAAAGTGAAGGAATGTCGCAAAGTAGACAGATTCGTTGAGAAAGTTCAGTTTCAATATGTTGGTCCATTAGAGGAGGAACAATATTCGACGTATTTAACTGTTTTATGGTTTATAAAACGAAGTTGTTGAAGAGAAAGAAAAAAACGATTAATAAAGTATTAATTATTTTTATCTGTGTCTTGTTCCTGTACTGGCTGGACATTCCCTGTTTCGAACCATTACACTAAATTTTTGAACAAGATATTTTTCGTATTATAATTATTTATTCGCGATAATTGTGCAATTCCAGTTCTCGGAAATAAAATGTGTTTTGAGATGGGAAATCACGAAAAACGATCGTTCCTCGTTTTTTACCCTTTACCTATCGATTCCTGCTTCTTTTAAATTTTATATCTCGCTTCGTTGTATTGTGAATGTTTAATACTAACTTTTGGATCGAAATAATCGCGTCGTGAAATTTTAATCTTCAATATAGAATCGTAAGAAAATTATTTGATCGTACAGATGGTAATTCAGATCCACATTGATCTCGTTAATTTTTTTAACAACAGTAATGGACAGTAAATTGTGGTGGATATGGGACATTAGAATTTGTGAAGTTTAGCGTATTAGTCAAATTGCTATATAATTTTTTAATAAACGTAAGTTTCTCTTATATTTGTATTTATCGGTGTTAAAAAGATCTTGTTATATTTATTTATTTTATTCTTTAATACTCGATAAAAGGAAATGATATTTTTCCTTCTATGCACGATATGTATGAGATTGCTTTCTTTTCGATCGTATAGCATTTGCTATGCATCAGTCTGTGCAACACGTATGAAAAAGATTTGAGTGAAACCTCTGGCGCACATCGAAAATGGAGAAGGCAGCATCGTTCCAGCCAAGACTTTTCTCATTACGGATGTTGAATATATAATCTTCCATCCTATATGCACCATAGTCAGTCCATTCCTCGCTATTATTCAGGCAGATCAGCTTACTCTTTATTCTTTCATTACTTATTATTCACTGTTCGTTCTACATAATGCAGTTTTTCATTTGTTATGAAAAAGAAACGAGTAACGTTTATCTTTGTCCACACGATAACGATTTATGTTAAATCGCATATATAACAATTAGAAATTTTAAAATTCGTTCGCGTATCGCAAAGCATATGTAAATAAAATTACATGAATTTAAAATCATAGTTTGACTTAAAATAAAGAAGCTCTGTTAAGGCTGTGCGGAAAGTTTTTAGATACCGATATTTTTCAAATTTTACTTTCATTTTTCACTAAAATTATAGAATAAAATTATTTTATATTTCTCTTCAAAAATATTTTGTATAAAATTATTTCTATTATTCCTGCATTTTCAGTAGAAATATCTCGTACAGAACTATCGCTACGTACAAAGTATCTTTCTGGAATGAAATAATTTTACCTAAGCTTCGAATTGCTTAACCCAAGTCCAACAACGCCAGTGCTAAACTAAACGAGCATTAAATTAAGAATTGCGCAATCTCTTGATGAAATTTACCGTATAGTTTATTACGATAGAGTTTAAAATTGTAGCCCGATCCGATGCGTTTATTCATTGCCGATAGTTATGACACCTTTGAAATAGTAATATCAGTATCCATACGCATGATAATAATCCGTGATTAGGACACACGTAACCCGTTCGTTCGTTGTAAGCGGTAAATATACTGTGAACGTTGAAATACGATGAACGTCACTGGGCAATTGCAATTAAATTACCAAGGAAATTAGCCTGCACTGTGGATAATGCATTCGTGAACATAGAGAGTCGCGTTGCACGGACAAACTGACCCACTCTCCGCGTATACAGGGTGTTCCTGCGTGAAATATCGAATTAGGAATTAGTTAGACTTTCGTAACTAGATTAATTCTCTTTATACTTGGCCATTAGATTAGGTTTCAGGCATTTTGCATAAACTTTGATATTTGCTTCTTGCAACTTGTTTCTCCGTTCAAGTATATGTAGCAAATGTTTGTTAAATATTTTTGCTCTTTGGAAAGAAAAGGAATATTTTTGACGATCCTGTTCTCCTCGTTTGTTCCTCGCATGTTTGCATCTCTCTCGATATCTTCATTTTTCGAACGCTTTACTCATAAAAAGCGTGGAATATCGGAAAGGTAGTAAAATTATATCGGATACTAAAACGAGATATTTCAAACTATGCATATTTTATATTATATTTTATATTCGAATATAATATCCATTTCGTTTTATACGCAGACTTTCGGTTCGTTCTATTAAAAAAAAAAAAAACAAATTCATCAGATTCAAGTGTAAATTGCAGTGTTCTTCGGAAGGCAAATTATCACGCGTAAAATATAAAAAGTCCATTTGCAATCTATCTTCTCATCAAACAATTTCCGTACATAATTTTACACCTGTTAAGTTCAATTTTCACTTCCAATTTGTACATTTAATTTAATTTTCACTTTCGAAATAAAGATCCCAGCGTTTAATTAAAACTTAACAGCTCTATTTTCAGCCTCACTTACTATTTAAAAAAAAAGAGAAAAAAATTCTCGTTTAAATGGAAATTACAATTTCCCACTTTGCAAGAAGAATCGCCACGTAGAGGAAGAAATATTCCCGAGTTTCCTGGCTGCGCGGGAATTTTTCACGCGGCCGAACAGCAATAAAGCGGAACGACGTGGTCCGCGCTGAACACACGGTATATTCGAAAGATTTACATTTTCCGTCCAGCGGCGGACAATGTTTCACGGGGGGAGGTATGATGGGGCTAAGCGGCCGTGCATCGAAACAATAGCGCGAGACGGTCGCATTTGCGCGGGATGCACACGTATCGCTGCTGCAGTTTCTCGTTATTGTTAGCGCAAGGCACGATACATAAGTGCATGCGACGTTCAAGTTACGCGAAAGCTCTGTCTGGCCTCGTGTTTCCAGTCAGACGGTGCACCTTCCGCGATACAGCCACGAGATTGCATGTTTCGTTGTCTTTCTTGCCTGTGATCGACGCGGTTCGCCTGTTAAACGCCAGTCATTTACCACCACACCTTGTAATTTCTTCTTTCGATCGTTTCTCCTTCTAGGTTAATCTACTTGTTCGTTAAGTGGAAGTTGCTGCAGCGGCGATGCGCGAAATTCGACGAAATTAAAACTCGCTGGATTTTTGTACCGTCGCGACGATGACTGACTCGAGAGACTTTGTCGAATAATTGAATCTGTTATTGATTGTTACGGCCATTCGCCACGGGTTAGCGAGGTTTTTGGTTGACTAATGGAAAGTTACAGTTGGCGGATTTAAAGGAATTGAAAGGCAATGGCGGAATTTTTTAGTATCGTCGTAACGAACGAATTTGTTTTTGACGAACGATTTAATGTACCGCTTGACGGAGGGTTGCACGCGGTTGAGGAGGTTTTCCGTAACTAATTGTATGTCAGGGTTGAGAGATTTAAAGGAAGTAAAAATATTTCGAGAATAATTTCACTTCGACGAATAATTTAATGTATGGCTTGACGAAGATTTGTGAGGGATTGGGTAAGTTTTGCTGATAAAATGACCAGTTATCTGCACATTTAGAGTTACGTAATTTGCTTTTGTTTGGCTTCATAGGACTTATCTAAGAGGTTGTAAGAAGCGGTGAAGAATTATTACTGGCAATTTAGCTTCACAGTCTCTATTTAGAGTCGATTGGATATCGTGAAATTTGTAAGAGGGAAGAGGGATTTTATCGAATGGAAAGCTTGTATGTATTTTATAGTTTTCCAGTATTTTGAGTTATTGGACGTTAAAGCGAATTAATATCGAGACGTTTGTTTGCTAGAAGCGATCAATTTTATCTAGTTAATAGATCTCGCAAACAATTTTTCCTTCGTCTGTTTTGTAAAACAATATCATCCCCATTTTTGTTGTAAAAAATCTCATCCTAATATAAATACATTTTATTCGGTTAAAAAAAATTTAATCGTATTTTGCCGATAAATCGAAGAAAAATGTATGGATTATGATGTTAATCCACGATGTGTTACAATGAAGTCAGTAAAGCGTGGCGTGGCAACTTGGATCTCTTTGTACGCGTCAGCTGCTCCTTTATTTGTCCAAGAAGAAGGATTTGCCCGTGTTAACAGAGCTTCTACCTGGTAGCGTCTTATCCGTCTTCCCGCTCATGACGGCTAGCTTCTTGTAAACAATTTCGTTTCCTGTTCCTCGTGCACCGCGGAACGCTATTTCCCCGGAGGCAAGCTGCAGGAAATCGAAGAGACAGCGACGGAAGAAATAGGGGACAATTTTTCAGAGAAGTTCAGAGCCGCGAAGTAACACCGTGAAACTATACGGCAAGTCGTATATACAGACGTTCGAGGGTTGAAATACGTTCCTTCGCTTTCCTTGTACCTCCCACTCCCACTTTCTATTCAATAACTTGCAAAATGACTTATTACGTTTGAGCGTACGGGATGTCGTTTCCATCGAGTTCCAATTTGCCGAACAAATACCAACCAATTTGTCCATATTCTACTGAACTATGGAGAAAAGCAATAATTGCGAACAAGTATCAAACGGCGTTCTTTGTATCTTTGAATATTTAGCCGAATTTACATTGTTCACATCGGAGGATCACTGCTGCTTAAAAGGACGTTTTTCGCGGTGAAACGTGCACGGCGAAACAATGGAAATGCGGCTTTACTCGCTGCTCGACCAAACTACCTTTGGTGAACCTACCTTTATCTTCGATCGCTGTTTGTACTTTAAATATTTCAAGACTTGTTGGTTGATTCATCGTCCGTATCAATACGTTTTGCATAATTTTGCACGAAGTAAGTTAGGAAACAATATTTGCCGGATTCGTTGGACAGATATTGCGAGTTACCAGCGTAAGTTATGTAAAACACGTTCGTTTCCTCGGTCGTTCCATTCAACCGATGATGTGAAAATTGCATAGGGTTACGTAAGCGTGGGAATAGTATAGCGAGATGGATTTTAGCAGCGATGGGAATACTACGGCTCTTTGATTTACTTGTTCCGCCGGATTGCCACGATTGTTGTATAACCAGCGAAATATCGTAGGAAGCTTTATTTCGTTACCAAGTTAATCACATTGACCTCTATTCCCATACTTTCTCGATCAACGATAAGTCATTATAAATTCTAATATCGATAGCGAGCAACTAAAACCCTATTGTGTTTATTATCAACGGTATATCAATATTATAGTGGGCTGACGTTTGTAGCGACTGTTTGGACCATACGATGCTGTGTTATTTTTTAAAGAATTCCTCCCATCAAACCACTTTTACGTGTCTTCTATTTACTATTTTTATTACGTATATTTAATACTAAAATCATGTAAGAGCTAACGAAGAACATATTACATTTTTAAACTCTTCCTCTATAAAGCATGAAAAATGTGACTTGCTGCGCGTCAGTCTTCTGTGATCTTCGCACAATCTTATTACACTAAAAATAATCTAACGATCGTTGCAATTAAGATGGAAATAATTCGAGTAACATGTACACCAAAGAAACAACGCTTTACTTTAATTGTTTTATTTTAATTATCAACGTGTACCAAATTCACCCCTGTTACTATCAAAAATTCAAAAACGATAAAGGCACGTAAGATGGTATTATCACAGAATGTGTAAAGAGAGGACGAATAGAGTAACACAGATATGTAATAATAGGGAGGCACATTTGCATAATGGTGGTTCGCTATTCGCCCCATTGGCCGGTTGGCCAGGGGGCTGCGGCGAATTGTGTCGTCGAATTGCCAAAAGCTGGTGGAGCAAGTAGACGCCCTCCTAGCGGTGCATGGCAATTCGTCGTACCTGACCAATTGATCCTTCTGCAGAATGCGTTTTCATAGAAACGGTGTCTGTTGCTTTTGCAGGTCGAGGCCGGTGACGTCATACTCAGGGTGAACGAAGTCGATGTCAACCGATTCAGTACTAAAGAAGGTAAGAAGACCGACCTGCTTTAGCCCCTCTCTTTCTCTCTCTCTTTCTTTCTCTCGCGCTCGCGATATAATGCACATTCGCCCAAGTGCACTCGTTCTCTCTTCTCTCCCCTTTCCTCCCCCCTTTCATGGTTCCTCCTCTTTTGCCCCTGTTTGAAACGTACAACCTTTTTGTCCGCGATATAACGTATCGAATGGTTGCAGGATTTGTATTCTCACGTTCTGTGATCGAGATTTGGCAATCGACGAAGATTAATGTTGCGTTTAACGATCAGAACTATCGTCGAATAAAAGGCAGCAGGACTGCGTTTTCAGTGACTCGTATCGACAGTCAAGTTGAAGCGAGATATATGTTTCATCAGCTACGATATTCGTATTATGTTAAAAAGTCAAGCAATGCCATTTATTTTAAGCAAATGTATCGTACTAAGTATACCCCGTGGTGTTGGAATATCGACGCGAGTCACTGGTACATGAACTTCATTTATCGAAACTATCCCAAATTTTAGTCGATGCCGGAGACAATATCGCAGGCAATGCAAGATAGGAAGGAATCTTTTGTTCATACACTTTCCAAAAATCATTGAGATCTTGGAATATGCACCGCTATAAGTTTGTAAAACTTTTATGTGGAAGATCTTGATCGCTCTGGTAGTTTGGTTGGTAAAAATCGAGAAACTTGATTTACACGGTGATGATTCTTTGGTGAAATTAGTAAGTAGTTTATCAATCTCATCGATAAATTCGCAAGGAACTCGATTACTCGCTCAAACTGAATCAATCATTTACCCGAGTTCTCGCCGAAATAAAATCTGCCGGTGCAGAAAACGAAAACTTGGAAGATCGACGTGATCAACTTTCTCGTAATTGCGATACAATTCTCGAACGTCCAGGGAGTTAGATGGAAAATAAGAAAGAAAAGGGGAAAAAGCGAGAAAGAACGTAGATCGATCGAGTGAAAGTCGGTTCGCGCTTTATCCCACGATTGTTCTTGCACGGAAGGTCAATGAAACTCGCGCTCGGGCGTGAAAAAATCGCGGACGTTTGGCTTTTCGACCGTAAAACAACAGGAAAACGCAACCGTTCCGACCTGAAGATTCACGATTCGACGTTTCGCCGCGCGTTTCACGCGGAGATGGCAATAATTCTCGAGGGACGACCATTTTATCGGGATTTATTGGGAATATATACCGACTGGCTGGATTTTCCATAAAACACCTGAGAATGCCTGGGAAATTTATATCGTGATTTCCGGCGGAAGCCGTCTGACGCAAGATTTCACGGTATCTGCTCGAGTGTAGAGAAATCGAAAGTTCAGCGATAACAAGAGCAAACAGACGATTTCGCACGAACAGTCCTTTAATTGTTAAATTACTTTGTTTAGTGAAAACAATGAGAATACTTCTACAAAGATTAGAACAGAATTCCTATAATACTTATATATCGTCGTTGCAATACAACAAAGATATAACTAGATATTTGCAAATTTTTTAGATAAATTTTTTAGATAAATAAAGTTAGATAATTTTTAAAATATCCACTGAATGGCGGTTTATTGAAATATTCGTTGTTGGTAGTCGCATTTCGTAGGAAGTTAGTTTTTAGTCGCAGTTAGTCGCAGGCATACTTAAAAGTAAGTAGAGAATGCAAACAGTATTGTTTATCCCAACATTATAAAACATTCCCTTCGCTATTTAATTACAAGTTTAGTCGCTAAATGAAATTGATCTTCTTGATCTCCTGAGAAATCACCTTTTTCCAGTTGCACCATTGATGCACTGGGACGGTGGTACATTGTACGCAATTAAAATGATCACATCTGACAATGTATTATTTGGAAAATAAAGCAAACCAGAGTTTTGTCATTTAGTCCATATAATACAACTTCATCTAAAAGGTGAAAAACACAGGGAACTTCGGATATTTCAACGCATCTTGAAAAAAGGAAAAATTACAGTTGGGATGTTTTAACTAAATACAACAGTATATTATTTGAGATACGTACGATTCTTTACCAATTAATACAATCAATACAGTTGTTTATTATTCCAACGAAGAATCTTATATTCACATATTCAAGCAAACCGCGGAAGCTATAATAATTATGAATGGTTTGCAAATGCAGTAAAATGTCACTATGTATACGTATATGTTGAATATTTCCAGTCTATACAAGATATAAATACTATCTCGGAGGAGCGCTTGCGAAGCTTGCAGCAGAAATCGAATCGAAGTTATCATTTTCTATGAATATTTACCATTTATGTATATTGAACGTCTTCCAAGAATAATATCAGTGGCACATGCAAGGAGATCACGATTAAACGAGAAGACTCTGCGAGATATTCTATATTTAAATTATATTCAAGAATTCGATGAAATATCACGATGTTCGTTTCGTTCTGTTTGCGTTTTGTCCCGTCAGTATGGTTTCGATCTGTTCGTCCGATTTACGCGGTATCAAATAAAATTCATAAGAAGTCTAACACGCGATGGCTATAGAAATAGAACTGGATAACACGAAGGAGAATCGTATACGTAAGTTTACCTCATTCAGATTAGAAATAAATGAGACACTGTTTTTGCTTGACCCTAGTTTAACCTTTCGATCTGTCAAGTGTCCCATTCGTCACGCAAAAATTATTTATTCATAGAAAGAATCGAGATGCGAGTAATAAGCGTCGACGAGACGCGATAGAAGTTACAAGGAACGGAATTAGATAAAATTTTATTCGTTTATACTTGGCAGTTTTATCGATAGATCTTGAGACACGGTTGGTTATCGTATGGATTACGTTTTGGTTAATTTTGTTCAACATTTATAACATTGTTTTAAAAAATGGTTAATAGAATATGGTATAGAAGTTGCACATTTTTGTTGGCGACTTACCGCTGTTGTATATTTTATGATTCGTATCTCTTCATAGTCTATCTCATGCATTTTCGACGCATCATTTATTCTCAGCTCTAGCTTGCTCCCCATAATTTAAATTTCTAATTGAATAATACATATGCATGAGGGGAATATCTTGAAAACTATAAATTTGTAAGATTCTCAAAGAAATATTACGAGCATTAGACGAAAATTTGTGTCTAATTGGAGCACCGAGAACCATAGTGATTTAAGTCGGTCTATTACTCGCTTTTATAAAATAACGTTCTATGTTTACGATTATGCAAAATTCATTACGTTTTTTAAAATTGATAAAGACGTGCCGCAACAGATATTATTAGATTACGAATTTTCATGCAAATTCCCGACCACAACAAGAAGATAGGACTTAAATATTTCATTTACCTTCTAACAACGAGTATTCACTTCGAGTATTTTGTATATTTTCTTACGTATATCCTGGCTGTTTTTTTTACAAATTCCAATTTCCTGAAAATGCATAATGAACGAAACTAAATGATACCTGGATGATGATACCTTTAAAAGTTGAAATACGTGACTAAGTATAAATTCTCAGATTCTCCGCTATATACACACCGCTATCGTTTTCAATTCACTAATTCTAGAAACGAAATCATCGCTCGTTCGTAAAAATAATAACAATAATAATAAACGAAAGAAGAGAAAACTCGGGAAAAAGCTAGAAAACAAAACGTTGAAGCAATCGGTTCGCGATGTCCAATGACGAGGAGAAAGCAAAGTTAAACGAGATTCGAGAAAGAAATTTCATTCAGGCGACCTTTCCACCATGAGACGGCGAACAGTCAAACGAAATTACAAACGAACTGGACTCGAACTCACAAGTAATTCGAAGCAAAAATCGAGTTAAGATGGTCGTTGGATTACGTTAGACCAGAGGAACGAAAGAAGGCGGAAGTTTTCTTTAGAAGCAACGAAGTTTGTCAAAGTTTCTATTCTTTACAGACGTCCATCTCTCGACGAATTTCTTGCGCTTGTTAGGATCGCGTTGGTAATTTCGTGCACGGGGGTGAAACGTCGACCATGCAGGTCATTAGCGAGAATTTTACGATGACACGGCGCTAAATTTGCGCCGTGCACGCGAAATGGGACACTTGATTGACTGTATTACCGGTTGCTCGCGAATGCTGTCCGCTGCATCAAACCAAACGATCCTTGCTCAATTTTATATCGACGATACAGTTACCCTTTTGGCCGTCTGCTATCCATTTTGCAATTCTGTCAGAATTTTCTTTCTTTCTGTTAAACGTTGATGATTGAACATAACGTCAGTCTAGTTGGTGGATTTTTTAACCCGAAAATTGTAGCTTGTTAATTGGAAGAGATCGATTAATTCGTCGTTCTGATCGCCCATATGTCTGGTTCATAATTATCTCTCCGTTCACAGGTCTTCTATACTTTTACATATCGCCTTATTCGTTCTATAAAATTGGATTTTATAATTCATTGTCTAATCTCGTAATTGTAAACGTTTCTCGTTAAGAGACGGTTCAAGGGATGTAGGAAATGATTCTGTGCTTTGCATCTATTAATCTATTAATACAATATATTTTTAACTTAAGAGACACGTCTGAAATTAACGTAGAAACACATCTTTTCTTTTAAACTGAAGTTATTTATAAATCATCGAATAGAAAGTCTTATAGAGGATTTCTTTAAGTTTCTAATATTAATAAAATAATATTCCAAATAAGGCGTGAATATAAAATTGAAGCAAACTCAACAATTCTTTCTCCGATACCATGAATGAACATTAAAATAGATACTATTTGGTTACTAAAATAGATAGAAATATTGGGCTGTTTACTAGAATAAAAATAGATACTAGCTTCTTTGTTAGAATAGAAATAGTGGTCAAGTTGACGAATAGTTACCACCCTCTGACCGATTTCGATGGCCTTGAAATGTGATGTTAAGATCGTTTGATGAAGATTCTGGGCAACATTTTCCTATACATGTAACGGGTGGTTGGTTTTAGTTTTTTTACGAGCCATACGCAAAAGTATATTTGGTATCGTACATCCATGTACGTATGTATTCCGCGTGAAGCTGTCGATGAGTTACGTCCTTATGAATTCTAACGGGATATTTTTAATATCTTCATAGTGACGTAATAATAATAAATAATTCCAGTCACAGAATTCCAAGTGGAAAAAAGTTGGCGAGGTTGAGCTATCTAAATGATGTCAGCCGGCGTGGCCAATACCGATAATCATAATGGTGCGACTAAATCAACGCGGTTATAATTTGGGCACACAAGTGAATATCCGAGCAATAATTATAATATACAAATGTTACACCTAATGTACAATTTTTTGTACATCACTTTTGCGTATAATTGAAAAATTCAAACTTCCTATATACGTATAGGAAGAAGTTTTTCGAAATGGAGAGCTCGACAAGATATTTCAAGGGGATGGAAATCGGTGAGGAGGTAATCGTTCGACACCTTCACCGAAATAAATACTTTAAACAAATGATTGACTATTAGCGTCTGTTTGTATTATAAAATGTATATTGTCATATTTATGTATATATATTATTTATAATTTAAATTATAAAATACAAGACGCCTACGAGGCTGAAAAGATTAATACAATTCGCAATACAAAGAATCGGAGCAAAGTCCACAAAATAAGGAAGCGAAAGAACACATCGAACGTAGCGGCGAGGAAATTAAAATTCCGGAAGTGGCACGAACCAGCGGCAATCCCCGTTTCGCGGAGGCTGGCACAAGGAACAACAGCGATATCGTGTAACCGAGCGTAAAGCGGCCCAAGCATCGCAATATCGGCCAGCCTCGTGTTTCCTCTGGTTCCCCGTTTAATTTGACAAGCTGACATCGCAGACAAACACGAAGCGATATTTCAGTTCCGTGAACCGTGAACTCGCGTTTGTTCGACTCGGCACGGCGCGTTTGCGTTTCGCGGATATAATTGGTAAACTTGGCCGGGCTGCTGTTCGGAAATGGAAGATGCTGGAGATGCCTCGTCCTACGGGGCGTCCGCTTTACGGGATTGAAGGACGGTGAAAGTTTATCGAAAGCCTTTGCAACCGGGTAAATTTGTTCTTCGAGGGTTTCGGAGGTCTTTCTCCGAGCGCTTTTCAGGTATCGACAAGATTTAGACGTCTTTGAAGCTCTTTGTTGCTCCATTGTCTTCCTTCTGTTCGTAGAAATTGCAGTTTTCGTGGAAGACGTTTTTTCATCCGAAGATTAAGATCTGATCTCTCTTCCTCTTAGGTTCGAAAGCCTCTTAACACTCGTCTTCCCAGTTTAATTTTACTCCTTTCTTTTTTTTTTCTTTAAAATCCTTACCCCTTTTTGTTCCTTTGATGTTCTACAAATATTTCCAAACTTTGATTCATTTGGACGATCGGAAACATAGAAACAGATAAGCGATAGATCTATGGCATTTGTGTCGTAGTAGAGACACACAGTTTATGTGTATATTATACGAAACATTTTGAAATCTCGTTAGCAATTAGATAGGAGTATCGTGATTATATCGGGGCAATTTGAAACGGATGTGAAAATGTATATGGAAGTTTCATAATACTTATTGTTACCATGATTGCGTGGCAAAGATCAGAAAAATATTTGAATTAGTACATTTAATACAATTAATACATACGTTGTATATTATTACAATAATATAATAATTATGCATATACTAATAAACCAAAATATGTAGCGAGATCACTCTATCACTAATTGTATGTTTAAGACAACTGTTCAAGCTCTATACTAATTTCTATCAATGTCGTGTAACTTCCTGTCTCTACACATTTCTAGAATGCTTTCAAATTTTGCTACTACAATCGCTGCAGTCTCGTTGCAGCGTCAATGGAATTTCAAAAAGTTTGGTACAATGCGCGTAATACGTTCATAAAAAGATTCTGTTGCAAGCATTCGAATACTTTGACGAGTCACTGTAAACCATTTCGCTCAACGGTGCACAGAATGTTTTCTACTTCCATAGACGGTTTGAAGGTAAAAGAAAGAGCCAAAGCTACAGAATTTCTTTTAGCAGATGTTTCCCAGCATTTCCGCAATCTCCAGTAGTCGGGATATTCCAGGTGGAAGTTTTACACAAATTCGAGGTTTAATTAAACCGACCTATCTGGGCATACCGTCTTGTCCGTCCGAAGCGTATATTCTTGTCATCTCTTTCGTCTAAACCCATCCTCGTCCTATCCCGTTAACGCGTCATGCTAAAGTTTCCATTCTGCTGGCGTTAAAACCGAGTTCCACACGGAACGGTTTAACCATCGTGCAAAATTGCGACCCAGGGCCATCCTTTTCGTCAGGAGAAGGTCGTTTCTCTCGTTAATCTCAAGCAGGAAGGCGGCTAGCCTCTCCGAAAACAGCGTAACGGACAACGTTCCCGTAAATTCCGTTTGCAAACACGTGACAACTCGGTTTAACCGTAGTTTTTATCCCTCTTTCTCTTTTACTGTAGGGGACAAGTACAAGTAGGCAGGAAGTAGAAGTAGATACCAATCAAGTTTAACCGTTGATTTCAATTATTCACTATATTATTTGCTATAATAATATAATTATTTACTATATATAATCCGTGTACCGCAAGGATGTACAATAAATAAAATGGACGTAGAAGTAGCGGACAAGATTTTACAAAACAGTTTGTATTTTAGAAGAGCAATGGATTGTACATTCTTCCGTCCGCTACTGAATATAACACTAGTATCTACAATACTAGTTCGATTAACCCCTTTGTTCATGATTCATGATTCACGATACGCTTTGGACGAGATATCTTTCCACGCAATGTGGTTCATGCGATGCTTCGAAGGAAACATCGCGCGATTCCGTCTTTGAACGTTTACGACTGGAAGTCGCTCATCGGTCGTTGTCTCGTGTATATCCTTTTACCATGCTTTGAATTATTTCATGCGATATTTTCTTCATTCAACATTCCTAACCCCTTTCACATTCACAAACGCAGTGTCTCACGAACTGATTTTTATGCGAATCGTTGCACGAGATATCTCGTATGTCTTTCCATTATCTTGCATCGCATGAACGACATTGCGTTGCAAGATATCTCTGCCGAAGCGCGTCATGAATCATCAACAACACTGTCTGGCAAGATATGTACATATTTCGTACTCTAATGCGAGGTGGTCAATCGAACTGGTGCTACCGTTATATCCACTAGCGGATAATAGAAAATTCAAAGCTTGCCAAACAATTCACTCGTGTGTACACACATATCAGTAAATTCTGTATTAAATATTTTTCATCGTATCGCACAACAGTCAGCTATTATGCAGTATAAATAATATTTATTTGTTTCTCTTTTCAAGTTCAATCTGTGTTTGTCAAATTTTGCCCGCTACCGTACTTCAATTTCGTCTATTGTACATAGATTGCTTCGTAAATGATTGAACTCAATATTTACATCTTTATGTAAACAAGTCGTATTTCCGCTATCTCGTGTTTATTCCTATTACCACTAACTATGTCTATTCCATTTATTTCTGTCCGCGAATATATTCCTTCTGTTCTACGTTTCCTATCCTACGACTCTTTGGCCAACGTCTTTCCTGACTGGTGTGTTTCGTCGTTTTCTGTTTCAGTGCTGAAATGTCTGCGGCTCTCGTCGGATCCCGTCACCCTGAAACTGCGAAGGGGTAAGTCAAGTGCGTCTACGAATTCTTTTATTCGCGCGAACAGCGATGTCGAGTTGGCTGCAAGTTCGGTTATTGAGTTGCGACGAGGGAATGCAATCGAGTTTCAGCTTGGGTGGTTTTCGAAATTCTGATCGGCGAATATCGAAACGTTCGTTGGCCATGATTATTGGCTTAAGTGGTTATTAGTTCGTGAGGATCATCGATGATTCAGGCGGTTAATAGAGAGGCTTGATCAACGCATTAATCGAATTTTTCCGATTATCAGTCGCGTTAGAGATTATATCGCCATTGATTCGTGTTATTTTCTTAGACCTGTGACAGATATTATTTACACGGATTTACTGATTGGATTAATTGACTTGGATTGTAACGTTAAATTAATTCCGAATTAATTTTGATGTTGGAATTATTGGCAGTATTCTGATTTAAACGAAACACAAACTGTAATGAAATTTACATTTGAATTTCAGCACCGATTCAAATTGGGATTGAATATTTTATGTCGTAATATGGAAGAATTTCTGGAATTTAATGCCTCTTAAGATTACATCGATTTTCGATCAATTTATGAAACCACTTGACACATTCGCTATTAATTGAAACTGATGACGATTCATTTGGAGAATCGAAATATCTTCGTTTTAACTACAAATAATAATTCTTTCGTTACATTGTCTGCTCTAATTGATCTGTACGAATCACTCTATCGAAAACTATAGAGCTTAAAATACAATAATTGCGTTATTCAAATGATTTACTCGATGCGACAGGCATCAGCAGCAGTGTAGTATTTTGAAACAAACGATAATTTCTAAAACTAGTGAAGAATGATTAATGGTAACGATAATCAACAGGAATTATGCATCGAAGGCAGACATAGTTCAGCTCGACGTTGAACGTAGCAAGATTAGTCTGTCTTTGAACCTCATTGTCACTGTTCTAGACATAGTCTGAAATAAGATTTTCCTCGTTATAATACCGGCACGTGATTAATCCTCTCTGCAGATGTACGAGTTCCCAGTTGTGAATATCAAATATTCTTTAGCTGCTGAATAGCAAATTATTTTGACGTTAAGTTCGTTATTTTATTAATGAGAATCAGAATATAGTTTTGAAGTAGCGCTGTAACGAAAAAAGGATGTCAATGGGACGAATACATTTATTCTAGGATTTATACGATGATAAGGATTCTTTTAGAGATTGCCATAGAATAATAAGATAGCGATAACTCGTTGTTAAAGCTTATTCGCGTTATCGTTAAAAATCTCAGGTTGAAATCATTTTATTGTCATATTTATATCACTGTAGAAGGATGAGACGCTAATATCGGAGCTTAGGAAACTAATTATTTTAGTTTGGAAAATTATTACTTGGAGACAAAGCTCGTATGATTTTACGATTAACGAACACTTTTATACTAGTAGATTTTTTCTTATTAATTACAGAATTTCTTAAAAACCTTCTATCTTATCGTGCAATAGTTTCAGTCGCAAAATATACATCGTTAATTACGTATCATAACAGTTTGCCAATATGAACAAATTAATTATTTCTCATATTTTAATTTCTTGAAATACTCCATTTTTCGACCACACTACCCTAACAAAAAGGACAAAAGGATAAAAACAAAAAGAAAAAAAGGAAGATATACATATACGATTCTATGTAAAGAGATCGTATTACTACATGCCGCATAAAATTCGAACCATTCGATACAATTTGCCACTATTCTTCATTGGTTCTCTAGATTTTATTACAACCTAACGAAGCTTGAAAAGAAGAAGATTTTTTTCAAGAGAAAGATTTCTATAAAATCTGCAACAACAAATATTTCTCAAGAATAGTGTCAGACCTACAGTTCCATAGAGATTGGATTAATAAAGTTGTTCCAGTGAGAAGAAAACTTATAGCGTATTTTATTAGCGATTCTCAGATTCACCAATCTCCGATCGTTGGTACATGATTACGTTCGCCATTCGCAAGATCCGCTTTCGTCGGTGAAAGTGTAGAGGAGTAGGGAGAAACCGAAAGAAATATCGGGTGGACCGCGTTCTCGACGGTGCACGCGTTCCATCGATAAGCGTAATCGGCGGTGTGTGTGGGCGGCGAACTTCTTGGCCGGTTTTCCGATCGTCTGGAATCCAAGGCGCGTATTCCTGCAACGCGCACGAGCCAACTCGCGCATTCCTCTCGGGTGGATCCTCGCGGTCGAAAGTACGCTCGGAATGCGAAGGAAGCTCACGTGTTTCGGCTGCTGGCAAGTTCCGCTTTCTCGTCCATGTATGACTGGAATTTTCTAGTTAAACGTACTTTTCGCAACATTCGGATCAACCCTTTGTAATTGGATGGTCTTTTCGATTGGCGAGGAAAACAAATTGAAGATAACAGGTGAGAAACGTGATAATACAGATATATTGTAGCTTTATTTATCCGTCAAGATGCGACGAAAGTAAATTGTAGACTAGGAAACGTATTCGCAAACTCATCTGGTGTGTGGATGGTGAAAATAAATACAGTCAGTGAATAAAGTATTGGCATAGGCTTTAAAATGGAATAACTGTTTTAAAAACGGGTGCAAAGGATTTGAAGTTGGAGAAGCTAGAAAAATTGCTTCGTTAAATGACGTGTATAGGAAATTTTGGGAAAATTAAAATTGATGGGAACGAAGGAAAGATTTCTCTTACACGTCATCAAGTGAACCAATTCCTTTAGTTTCTCAATAAAGCTCGAGTGGTTCGGTTCAATCTTAAAAAAAGTTATGTTGTTTCGAATATAACTACGAATAATATACTTTTGTGACTGACTGTAAGTAAGATGTAGGTATAGTACTCGGCTATATACATTTCTCACGTCGTATTCATATTGAACTGAAGTTGAAAATGCATCGATTACTATGGAGAAAGTGCCTTTCGTAAATGTTACTCCACTTCCTTAATCAACGTGATTCATAAATCAAAGTAATATTCGTCGATTAAATTGCATCTGGAATTACACGCGCTACTGCATTTTCCTTTAACAGAAACCGTTATCCAAATAAAAATACTATAAATACACGTGTGATGCACATTGTACGTAGACAACCTTTCACAATTTTCATTTTCTCCAGTTTCTTTTAATCGGCATATCCGATTTATAAATTAAATTGATATTTATCAACGAAATTACTTTTGAAAGTACACGTTGTAATATATTTTTCAGAGGAAGTCGTTATCGGAGTTGAAATACTACAGGCACATGTGATGCACTTTCTCTCTCTCTCTTCATTACGAAGCTACTCTTCGTAATTTACCATTTTATCCTACTTCCTTTAATCAACGTGTTTCATAAATTAAATTAAATTAATATCGTCGACATTGCATTGGAAATTAACGCCTTTAACACCTTTTTAAAATGAAAATTATAGTCGAGACACGTGTATATGACACTCGTTCTTAGTCTTATTTTCGCAATTTTACTTCCTTCTCAGTAATCAACGAAATTGGTATATCCGATCCATGTTTAGAAAGAAAGCGGCACTCGAAATTACACTTTACGTGTCTTTTTGAAGAAATTATACGGACCCAACATTTTCTCGACTTTCTAAATCAAAGTAAACGTTAATACGCAAATTTAAGGATACGTTTACTGTTTCCACGTTGTTTGCCTTAGCATTGTTCAATTTATTTATTACTAGACAAAATGCATTACGAATTAGTAATATCAATAATATCGATACGTTAATAGACAAAGTAGAATGCGATCATATGTTGTTACACGGATAAATCGTGTAAAATAAATACGGAAAAGTTAAATATATTAAAAATTCGCAAAAGATTTGAAATAAAGTAATCGTTAGACTATCTAGAAACCTAGGCGACGAAAGAAATTTCTATTTACTGATATTCGTCACATACGAATCTGAATTTTTCCAAACACGCGCAAAATCCACTGATTGTTGCACGTAGAAAGCCAATTGACCTGGGACATTGTCAGTGTGTTAAAATCCGGTAAGTACACGGACATGCGATACAGGCAGACAGTTGGCCACGTTGCGTGAGTAGAATCATTGTGTAAACTTGCCAGGGGACCAGATACGATGTTACCTCACAGAACCGTCGTGTTTAGCCGATTTACACCGGATTATCGTTATCAGTGCATGCGCACCTTGAATTCATTCGATGTTAGAGGTAGGTTCTAACCGCTCTGCTGTCCCGACTAATGAAGTCCGCGTTGAACAACCTGATGGCCCTGTTGAATCATTGCTCCCTTCATTCAGTGTACGATAGGAATAGCCCCTTTGATAAGCTAATCCAGATACGGTAAGGAACGATGGAATGGAATGGATCAGAATCGTAGAATCTCAGCGAGATGAATTTATCTCGCATTGAATTGTAGATTCAGATTGAACGCAGTTGTACTTCTAGGAATTTCTATGGTTAAGAGATTTAGCTTGTAATCCTTTATGCAATTCTTAGTTTAAACGTGTAGCAATCTCGTTGGAGATGGAATCCATTGGATTAGGTTAATGTTTTCCATTGTTAGCGGTAATTTCGTCCTACCATTGTTCATTATTTCTAGCGCCAGAATTTATTAAGTCTTTCATTTTCATTTATACCTAATGAATACAAGCATTGATTTAGATTAATGTATAAGTTCAATTGAAATGAAAATATTCGTCGCCAAAAGGTACGACTATTGACTGTTGGAATTATCGTGCCACCTTCATCAAAGATATCGCTATTTTAATAATAATTTCTGTTTCAGCATTCTTGTGACTTTTTGAAATTAAACAGTGTAATTCGAATAAAATTCCATTTATTACGATTACCTATGACTTAATCACAGTCGAGAAACAACAAATAATTTCCGCCACAGTTAATGGCATAATACCGTTTTTAATTATTTCACCGGCATAATTAACCAGCCTTTGCACCTTTACGCACGCGATAACCCATTTTAACATCGAGTATGTTTCACTGCTCATTGCGAATGTTATTAAGTAATTTTTCCGATTACTGTAA